AAAAAAAAAAAAAAAAAAAAAGAAAGTAAAGAATGAATACCATTTAAGATTAAGACCCATAAAATTATATATTTTATATATCAGGTATTTAATCATTAGCTTTTTATTTTCTTGATTTATGTCAGGTGACATGAGTTTCAGATAAATCTTTTTTTCATAGGCTTCTACACGAGGACACTGACAATGGGAGAAAAGACATACCCAACTGCTGGAACAGGAGAGCCACACTAGTGCCTGTGACAGGAAGACTGTCATGCAAAGGAGTCTGGATCAGCTGTCTGTCTCCTGCACCCAAGGAGAACAGCTTCTGCAGAATGGGTGAAAAACACACATACACAAACATAAATGATTTCTCTCATTTTCTTAAAACAAAAAAAAATCCTTTGAAAGTTCAAATTTATTTAAAAAAATGTTTTTTGGGGGGAAGCCTGGGTGGCTCAGTTTTGTTAAGCATCTGACTCTCAACTTCGGCTCAGGTCATGATCTCGAGGTTTGTGAGTTTGAGGCCCATATGGGGCTCTGTGCTAGCAGTGCAGAGCCTGCTTGGGATTCTATCTCCCTCTCTCTCTGCCCCTTCTCCACTTGCTCTCTAACTCTCTCTCAAAATAAAATTAAAAAAAAACTTTTTTGGGGGGTGCCTGGGTGGCTCCGTCGGTTAAGTGTCCAACTTTGGCTCAGGTCATGATCTCACGGGTCCATGGGTTCAGGCCACGCATCGGGCTCTGTGCTGACAGCTCGGGGCCTGGAGCCTGCTTCGGATTCTGTGTCTCACTCTCTCTCTGCCCCTCCCCCACTTGTGCTCTGTCTCTCTCTCTCTCTCTCTCTCTCAAAAATAAAAAATATGGGGCACCTGGGTGGCTCAGTTGGTTGAGTGCCCGACTTCGGCTCAGGTCATGATCTCACAGTTCCTGAGTTTGAGCCCCGCATCGGGCTCTGTGCTGACACTCTGCCCTTCCCCCACTTGTGCTCTGTCTCTCTCTGTCTCTCAAAAATGAATAAACGTTAAAAATTTTTTTAAAATAAAATAAATAAAAAATGTAAAAAAAAACAACTTTTTTTTGAAGTCCAAATTTAGAGTAATGATGAGCCTATAAGATCCAATTAATAGATGCAAGAGTAATGATGAAACCAAAAATATTCAAATTACATTGTGCCCAAATGAATATGGTATGAGAAAATTCAGTAATTAGAAAGCTGAAAATTTAATAACAATGGAGAAACAAAAATTAGTGACAATCATACTTAACTAAAAAATAAGAAAATATTAAAGTCAACATTTTTATGCCAATTATATGTCAATAAAACTTGGAAAACAAAAAATATGTAACATGAACCACATATGTAATACTTTAAAACGTCTAGCAGCCACAATAAAGTTTTTTAAATTAAAAAATAAATTAACATAATAAAGTCAAAATAAATCCCACATGAGAAAGTTCCATAAAATAATTCCACAGCTTTAAAGTTTAGGTTCATTTGTAACCAAACTTACATCTTCTATTCTGCCTTTGTAGTAAGGGAAGAAGAATGAGGGAGGAGGGAATAGGAGGAAGACAAGAGGATAAAAACTTAAGAGTAACAGGACACCAGGTAAGACCAAAGAGTTAAAAGAGAAAGAACTGAGGGTTGATGGGCGGGGTGGGAGAGAGAGGAAAGTGGGTGATGAGCATCGAGGAGGGCACCTGTTGGGATGAGCACTGGGTGTTGTATGGAAACAAATTTGATAATAAATTTAGTATTAAAAAAAAGACAAAGGGCAAGGGAAAAAAATGTCAGTTTCATAGCAAGTATCATCTCTGTCAGACTGAGGAGGATAAACAATGTAATTTTTAGAGGGCTGTCCTCTTCCACAACATTACACAAGAATAAGCAAAATAAGTGAAGGAAGTCTTTTTTTTTTTTTTAACTATGTGCCCTGGAAACATTGAGGCATAAAAGCTCAGGTTCTTATTTTTCGACCACAGAGATGAAAATTAAAATCTTAAGACAAACAAGATGACTACTCTGAGAAATTTTTATGTCAGTAAAAGAATTTAATGTCCTCATATGAGGCTCAAATATGACAAAAACCTTGGGAAATTTTAAGGGATAGCTTATACTTTCCGGAAAAGATTTGTGATTTTGGATGGTCATCAACATTAATATTTCTAAAGGTAGTTTAGAGTTTTTCTAATTTTTATCACTAAAAAACATTTTGATATAAGTTAATGAAATGAGCCACAGCTGTATAGAGGAGTAATAAAGGTGGAAAGGAGACATTTTAAATGTTCAGCTTAAAACGAATATTTCCAAGAAAACGTAAACTAGAGTTCAAGTTACACAAAATATGACTTCTAATTATGCTATGTGAAAGGTGAGCCCTGTGTTAAAACTAACCTTATGACCTAAGAAGAGAATGGAATCTTGGGTCTCTAGAAGGCAGACCATAGGGACAATGCTTAACTAAGATCTTCTTTAAAATGAAAATATTTAAGGAATTCCATTTTTTTCTGTTCTTCAAAAATTAAATTAACTGGAGCAGAGGAGAAGAGGAACAGGCCCTCTTCATCTCCCTTTTTATTCTATTTACCTGAGACCCTCCAGCCGCTGGGACAAGGCACGCACACAGGTTTGCAATGAGACTTTCCAAGGAGACATTCAAACTATCCACATATACAGTGTAGATCAAACCTAGGCAAGCCTACAAAGAGAAGATGAAAGAAGAGATTACTTTTTCATGGAAAAAATAAGCATTAAAAAATAAATTGCTGTGACATCTGCTCTTAAGGAAATTTCTTTTTGAAGCCAGTAAAGTATATTCCACAGTGACCATGGAATAAGTTTTAAGCAGCAAATGTTATTAAGTTTATTAAATTTTCCTCCTTGACCAGAAGCTCTAAATGAGCTTTTGCGATGAGTTTATAAAAAGCAGAAACATAATTTGTAAAACAGGTGTTTGTGCTGAGATAAACACTCTAGCAAATTTGTAGGGCTTAAAACTGTTGTGGTCTCAGCCTACTTTGCAAAAAGTCAAACTTCAAGATAAAAATTTCAAAATGTTATTGCTTTGTGATTCTTATAAATTCAGAATATTTGTTCTACAGAAAAAAATTTTGTAAATTATCAGAGGTTAGCAAAATAGAGACAAGATATAATTAACACTGTAAGCTCAGAAGAAGGTAGGTGGTAAAATGGAAGATAAAATGCAATCTTTATGAATCTTTCAGTTTATTAAAATTTGTGACTATGAAAAATTAGTAGGGATGCCTGGGTGGTTTGGTCGGTTAAGCGTCCAACTTCAGCTCAGGTCATTATTGTGGTCCATGAGTTTGAGCCCCGCATCGAACTCTGTGCTGACAGCTGAGCCTGGAGCCTGCTTCAGAATCTGTGACTCTCTCTCTGCCCCTCCCCTACTTGTACTCTGTATTTGTCTCTCTCTTTCCCAAAAATAAACATTAAAAAAAAAAGAAGAAAAATTAGTATTTGTTAGAAGTTACCCATTGTCATTGAAATCTTGACACTAAGTTAATTCTTCTAGAATATATATAATCTCAAGAATATGGAAAAGTTTTCCAGAAATTATGTATTAATTTCCCAAGTCCTTCAGAAATTTTAAGGTATATTTTTAAATTTTTAAAAACCTTTATTTATTTTTGAGAGAGACCGTGCAAGTAGGGGAGAAACAGAGAGAGACACACACAGAATCCAAAGCAGGCTCGAGGCCCTGAGCTGTCAGCACAGTACCCGGCGTGGGGCTCGAACTCACAAACCGTGAAATCATACCTGAGCCAAAGTCAGACACTTAACTGACAGAGCCACCCAGGCGCTGCAGAAATTTTAAGGTATATTTTATATATTTTCCAAAGACATCTGTGATTTCGGACAATAATCAACATTACTATTACTAAAGGTAGCAACTGAAATAAGAAAAGTAAGCCCTCTTCTTTCAAAGCTTAAATGTATAAAAAATTTTTTTTGCATTTAAAAATTCTGAGTGTCTCAAAGAGACAATATCTGGAAGTAAACAATATTTTAAAGCTATGTTGGAGACCAAAACTATTTGAGATTTAGATATTCAATCTATTTACTGAGCCTGGTCTCCTCAAAAGAAGGTAAATAAAAACACAAAGTTGTTATACTGCTAATACATTTTAAATTTGCTACAGGCAATCAAATGATTTCTTTTAGATTCATAAATTTTGGAGTCAGTAGCCATGGGATCTATTTAAAAACAAACACTACATCATAAGTTTAAATAGTTACGTTAATCTAGGTATGTATTTCATCCAACATGAATACATTTTTTTCTACTAACACTACATTTATTTTATTGATGAACCTCTAAATCAATTCAAAGATATTTTAAATACAAAGTCTTGTTACCATGATTCACTCAAAGCAGATTCACACAATAATACAAATCAATAATGACAACTATGAGTTCTTTACCCTAAAAATTTCTGGATAATCTAATCTGGATACCAACACCAGGCTTTTGGGAGCAAATACTTCTGCGGGCTGAATTAAACCAGACCCTTCCACTTCACCTTCAATCTCTTCCTTCTTTGTTCCCTAGAAAAAGATGCACTGAAATGAACAGACAGAATTTCTAGATTTATAGTTCACAAAAGATAGACATATCACACATTTTCATGTAATTTACAAAATCTAAAATTATTTATAAAATATAATTTATAATATAATTTACAAAACTCAAACTAAAAATAAAGATACATACTTTGACAGGAATCTAAGAAGCAAGTAAGTAGACAAAGAAATTATAAAGGAAGCCATGCTTATTTCAATTTTGAAAAGCTCCTTATGCTCCAGATATATACCACAACTTTATGTGAGCATTTGGTTTCTATGTGAGATCGGGAATCAAAGGTAAAGAAGACACATTAACATTATTTTAGATAGTGACCCAAACAACTAAAAATGATACTCACTTAAATGGAGAGTCAGTTTTTAAGAAAAGATCTATTTTAGAAGGCACTAATTTTCATTCTTGTTTTTCTACTTGTACCAATCTTTCAAACAAAAGTGATGCTCATTTAGGATTCTAAGGCTTACAGAATGCTCAGTGCTCTTAGAAGTGAAACCCAATCAGCTCTAAATTCCTTCTGCTCATAAGCAACTATGTTGACTTTTTTGAGAAGAGAAAATATCTTTCTACACAAAACTAAGTTTCAGAATGTACTTACTGCCATGGAAATGTACACTTAATAATGGTTAAAATGGCAAATCTATGTCATGTACATTTTAGCACAATAAAAACATCTATAATAAAAAAATACCCTACATTACAATGACTAAAAATACTGGTTAATGAAATAAACTTTGAAAACTTTTGTTCTCATTATGTGTCAACAAGTATTTCCTGTGCACCTACTGTTCCATTATACTATATGATGCACTATAAAACTTATAAATAAAATTTAAAAAAAGACAAGGTAGTAAAGCATTCAGATTAATTTCTAGATGATATTCTAAGATGCCAGGACATTTTCCCTAACTAGAATGTTTTTTCTTTTCCATTAATCAAATTTGCAGCTCAAAAATCTGTCTTCCTTCCTGAAGCCTTTCCTTTACTTATTTTTCTTTTAATTCTTAGCACAGTTCACCGATATATCACACATCCTCCAACTCATTTCTCCCACCAACCTCTCCCCAAAATGCCAAATCCAATTGCCTGCTTGACTTAGATGACTAACAGGTATCTTAAACATGTCCAAACCATAGCTCCAATCTTTCTCCTCAAACTCCATTCCTCCTACAGTATTGAGTCTCAGTTAATGGAAATCCTACCTGTCCATTTGGCAAATCAAAACTCTGGATTCCTCTCCCTTCATGCCCCATATCCAAACTGTCAGCAAATCCTGAATGCTCACCACCTCCACTCCTACCACAGTATTATGAGCCACCATCATTGCTTGTCTGGATTATTTTAACAATCTCCTTCAGTCTCTCCTATTCCTCCTTAGCCCCAGTTTGCTTCCTTGTTGCTCTTCAAACATGCTGGGCATGCTCCCAACTAAGGCTCTTAAGCACTGTCTGTTATTCCTTTTCCTGAAATACTCTTCCCACAGATACTCTAATGATGAATTCCCTCATCTCCATTAGGTCTTCGTTCAAGTGACTTCTCATCTGTTAAGACTTTGCTGGCACCCTAATTAAAATCCCAATTCACTAACATTCTCTATTTTCTTTCCTTGCTTTATTTTTCTCTTTGGCACTTGTTACCATCCAACATATTAACCTATTTCACTTATCTTGTTTTTTTTTTTTAATTTTTTTAATGTTTATTTTTGAGAGAGAGTGCGAGTGCGAGTGGGGAACGGGCAGAGAGAGAGGGAGACACAGAATCGGAAGTAGGCTCCAGGCTCTGAGCCCGAAGTGGGGCTTGAACTCACAAACTGTGAGATCGTGACCTGAGCCAAAGTTGGATGCTTAACCGACTGAGCCACTCAGGTGCCCCACGCTTATCTTGTTTTTTGTTTGTCTGTCTCCTCCACTAAAATATGCTTAATGAAGCCCAGGATTTCTGTCTTGTTCACTAGTAATTTCCCAGTTCCTAAAACAAGAGCTGGGCACATGGTTGATACTTTATTAATTTTTGTTCACTGCATACATGCAGGAATGAATTTTCTTGGAATAACTTTCTGGCTAGTTCACCAAGGAAAGTCTCTCCCCCGCCCCCCTCACTTATAGAGGCCAAAAACTATATTTTCTATCTCCGTTGGAGCTCGTATATTTTCTAGTACAGTGAAATATAATCAAGTATTAGATGTCTATGGAATGCACATATCCAAAGGGAACTATCTGTTTACTTTTTATATGTGTCATAAGGTCCCTATGCTCTTGAAAGATTTTCATCTGTTATAAAGCAAAAGCTAAAAGGTTGGCTGGTTTCTAAAATCCTTAGAAATAATAAAAATGTGATGAATATGAATTTACCAAATATTTCCACACATAATGAATCATATTCTTCATGGATTACTAACAAATTTGAAATGACAAAAGAACGACTAAAATTCCTCAAAAAGATAAAGCTATCCATTTTATGAGATTGTGATAAATGCCCTAGAGTACCATTAGAAGTCAGCTTGACTAAGTAGATAACCATTTCAAATAAATAACCATTAACCTACTTTGACCAAAACACAAAATAGAACGCATTGGTCTTTTCTTAAAGCTATTCTTTAACTAAACGTTCACTAAATGGAATAGTTATTAACAAAAAAGAAAAAAAGCGCCAGTATAGTGTAAATCTGTATTAAGTAAAAACAATTCCATTTTTATTTATATCACTTTTTATTACAGAGGTTGGCTTTTACTTCATAACTGTATTATAAATCATAAGATGTTGTTATTCTTAATTCTAACAGCTCTCCTATAAGCATACAATGTCACAAGTTTAGAAAAAATTCATACTCCACTTTTCAAAGCAAAATGCAGTACTATGGTTAAAAAAAATTTTTTTTAATATACTAAAAAGACTAAATTGCACACTTTAAAAGGATGGATTTTATGGCATGGTAATTAGATCTCAACTCAAAAAGTAATGCAGGGTATTGAGGAGGGCACCTTTTGGGATGCGCACTGGGTGTTGTATGGAAATCAATTTGACAATAAACTTCATATATTGAAAAATAAAATATAAAAAGAAATGTCAAAAAAAAAGTAATGCAAAATACTAAGGGCAACTAACATCCATATTATGTAATAATTTTATCTTTTTAATCAGAGATTTTGCAATATATTAAGACTTTCTGATTTCTGATTGAAGTAAATAAGCACCAAATTCTAATTTTAGTTTGGTTATACTTTTTGCTTATAGATTACCTGGCAATATTTACCTGAGAATATATATCTAGTATATCTTATGTCATCATTAAGATATACTTTAGAATAAAAACAACAAAAACCCAAAACCCAAAAGTGAAATTATATACAAACTTTACTCCTTATAATATTTTTTAATAAAAGATGAATCCCAAGGAAATAAAATATGATGAAGCTCTACTACTTATGATCATAACTTTGAGTTTACTATAATACACTGATATACTATCCCTCTTAGTGATTTTATACTATAATAATACAACAGGTTTTCATGCTTAATTTCAAAGACTGTTTTGTGTGTGTGTGTGTGTGTGTGTGTGTGTGTGTGTTTGTGTTCCTTAAATCTAGCTTTCATCATCCTTTTAAAATACTGAATTCTCCAAATCTCTGTTGGAAGACTGGAATTATTTTTAATATTTATTGCTTAATTGTTTTTATTAAGTCAAATTATGAATTAAATATCAAAATTCTTATTAAAATACTTCATTATAATTAATAAACAATGTTTCTACAAAAAAGAGAATATAATGTCACAAGTTTAGAGAAAATTCATACTCCTCTTTTCAAAGCAAAATGTAGTACTAAAAATGTAGTACTAAAAAAATTTAAACCCCAAAACTGCTGGTTAAAATAAGGTTTGTTCCAAGAGACAGTAATGTGGTGGTTTTGATAAAATTTTTCTATAAATAATTTATCATTTAAGGGAATACTGTTTATTCATTACAGCAGCTAGAATATCTTTTGTGTAACAATTACGTATTTCACATGCTGAAAAGATGTGAGAAATCTAAAAATAAGCAGGAAATTTAAAACATAGGCTATGAATGTAACAGATGTTATAATAATGCTTTGAAATTTTATATTTTATAGTAGAAAACATTTTCACATATTTTATCTCACTGAACAGTACTTGCAAGCCTTTTTCTAACCTAAGATTATTCCTAATTCTAGTAGATGCCATTAAAGATACAAATTTATCTTAAACACTAAGTTTACTGAATTGTCTCACAATGACTTGCAGGGTCACCTTATCTCTTATACACACCATAAGCACATGCTACAACTTGCCCACTTATAGATTTTTTTCCTACTTATTTTTACCATGGACTACATGTGTCAGTGGGATTCCCAGCTTCTACGTAATTTACATTCTATGTAGGTCACAGTCTCTGTGCTTCAATAACATGGGATAAATTAGTACTTACCATATCAATTTTCCCCAAAAGCACTATTGCTTTTTAAATGTATCCTGAGACAAAAATGCTAAAAATTATTAGATTACTGATTTTATGGGATGACTCCATACTCAAAATATTTAGGAAGTTCATCTTTTCACTCAGGTTGAATATGTCAGCCTCATCTTTGTGCACTCTTGATGCTTGATTCCTGTCTCTTCTACCTTGAAAAGACTTGTATCCAATATCCAAAATGTGCCAAGCTCATTTTCAACAATAGTATTTCACACTAAAACTCTTCCTACAGTATTTCTTTAAATATTCTGCTTAAAAAAGGATAAAAGGAGGAGCACCTGGGTGGCTCAGTCAGGTAAGCATCCAACTCTTGATTTCGGCGCTGGTCATTAGATCAAGACCAACAACTGGTTCTGCAATGACAGTGCAGAGCCTACTTGGGATTCTCTCACTCATTCTCTCTCTCTCTCTCACTCTCGCTCTCTCCCTTCCTCCCTCCCTCTCTCTCTCTCTTTTTCTCTCCCCTGCTCACTCTCA